TGTTAGAGCTCCGACTCCACTATAGATATTTTTCATGTTTCTAGTTTCCCATTAGAATAATTCATATCAATTAGTTTACACTAAAATTTTTTTCTCAAGTGTAGTCCTTAATGAATTTTTGTTTTCCTGAAAAATGTCCAAGTCTTCTATATTTCAATAGAACATCCAACGGAAAACACACACACACACACACACACACACACACACACACACACACGCACAGAATATCCAATGACAACTTCCTTAATAATCCCATCTATTTGTATAAGAAGGACCTTGATGAATAAGGTATAAAATATTAGCAAAGTGCTTTGAGATTCTCTGATGAAAAAGGATAAACTAGCAACTCTGGTTACATAGAAACTCATGCTACTAATGGTCTGCCAGAGAAAAGTTATTTTTAAAAATATTAAATAACTTTGAATCTGACACTACTGAAGTTTTCATAAAACCCATTACTTCATTCCAATCCACTACTGTAACAGCTGGAAATTAAAAGCTCTGGCATTTCAGTTCAAGCAGAATGCTGTTAAAATTTCACATTTCATACCAGTGCTAAATACTCATATCTGTGGAAGAGATAAATACACCTATATTAGTGAATGTCGATTGTACTTCTAACTCTTATGCTGTGAAGACATTTTAAGTACATACATGTATATTGTCAACTCTGTTATAGAGCCACAAAATCTTAATTGGACAGGACCTTAGGAGATCACCTATGCTAACTTCTCATCATCCAATGAGTTAGATCTTCTATATCATCCTTGACTCGTCTGATATATGCACCATGGGTCAGAAAACTTTTCCTTAAAGGGTCCGATAGTAAACATTAGGCTTTGTCTCTTTTGCAATTACTCAACTCTGCCATTGTAACTCAAAGGCAACAACAGACAAATTATGAGAGCGTGGGCTTGGCTGTGCTCCACTCAACCTTTAACAAAACAGGCAGTAGGCCAGGTCTGGCCTGAAAGCTACAGTTTGCCAATCCATGATACAGACCACTCCTAGTTATTGATAAAATTCCACCATTAGCTACATTAGATGCCTTTACAGGAAAATCCTTTATCAGGGTGAACTGAAATAAACAAATTCACTCATTGCTACAACCAAAATTATCGCCCCTCTGGAACAACAGAGAACATCTATCCATTTTCATGTATCAGTCCTTCAAATCCTTGAAGTAAACTATCATTATTCCCTCAAATATTCTTTTCTCCAGTCTAAATATCTGCCATGCGTCCAAGCATTCCTTGTATTAATTAGCACATAGTTTTCCAGGCCATGTAACCATTTGACCACCCTCTTGTATACACACACTACTCTGTGAATGATGCTTTGAAGTATCGAGTACAGAAATATGACATATGGTTTTAAAAATATGCAGCAATCAATATGTCATTTTAATTTTAGAATTTGGCTCACTGTCTCCAAATACAAATTTTTAGGATTGAAATCAAATATATTTGGATGTTTTCTGGTTATAAGATAACCAGGTAGAAATCAATAACAAAAAGATACCTAGAGAATTTGGATATATTTAGAAACTAATATATTTCTAAATAATTCATGGATCAAACATAAAATTTTTAAATATTTTGTTGAAAATATTTTCTAATTTTTAGTGTAATTTTAAATTTGTTGGGATTGTTTTTATGGACCTTATGATCATTTTTATAAAAGATCTCTATGCCTTGCAAAGAATGTATATTTTTTTGATATAGCATTCTATATATGTCCATTAGATCAAATTTGCTGTATCATATTGTTCAAAACCCTTATTAGTTGTTTTTTTTTAATTTTTATAAGACTTTATTTGAACCAAATTGACATATGCCAGGGAGCAAGATCTCAAATACTCCCATGTTCCAAACCCTTATTGACTTTAGATAATACTAATGCATTAATACTGTTCATTAACTGTAACATATGTAGCATATTAGTGTAAAATGTTAATAGGGGAAACTGAGTGGAGTATATGGAAATTCTCTGTACCAGCTTCACAATTTTTCTGTAAATCTAAAACTTCTGAAAAATAAAGTTTATTTTTAAAAGCATATGTGTAAGATAATCAGGTAAGTTTTAAAAAAACAAACAAATATAATTTAATTAAAAGGATAAAAGTATCTTAAATTTTACAGAGAAGATAAATACCCAAGAAAACAAATAAATGAATGAAAAAGAATAGTGAAAGGAAATATACTATAAAGCCACTTTAATTAAATCAATATGGAGTATTATTAGTCTAGGAATATATAAGTAGATCAATCGTAGAACAGGACAGAGAATCCAGAAACAAAATCCAGTTTATATGAGATTTTAATATATGACAAAAATATATTTCAATTCAATAGGACATAGTGATTATTTAATAAATGGTGCTGGCACAACTAGCTATCCATCAGGTAGAATACAGTCAGTCCCCAATCTCATATTATAAGATAAAAAACAAATTCCTGATGGAGTAAATATGTAATGTAATAAATAAAGCATCAAAAAGTTAGTAGAAAATATAATAACACTTACAATCTATTTCTTAACCAGAAAGATAACCATATTTGAGTCTATAAAAATGAAAAATAATTTATGTTACAAAAGCTATCATAAACAAAAGTAATTAATAGGCAAATGATAGATGTGGGAAAATACTTGCAAAAAAGATAACAGATAATGAGCTGGTAATCATCACCAGTATACAAAAAGCTCCTAAAAATTGGCAGGAGACAAGCAACCCAATGGAAAAATGGGTAAAGGATGTGAAAAGGAAGTTCACAAAAATAAATCCACATAGCTACAATCATGAAGATGCTCAAACTAACTAGTAATTCAAGAAATGAAAATAACAGTAGAAAAATCATATATCACTCTACACCCAATCAGATAAAAGAAAAATTAGAGAGCAATAATACCAAATGGTAGCAGGATAAAGAGAACAAAATGTGAATTGTTTACAACTGTTTTGAAAGCAGTCTGACAACTATTTTAAAATTAATAGTACAAAGATACTTCAAATAATAAATCACACTCCTGGGAATCTACCCTACAAAGATAAAATCATTAAAACGTTTATTACAGCATTGCTCTTATTGCTATAAAAAAAAAGAAAAAAGAAAAAACCCCACCAAAAACAAAAACAGGAAACAAAAAATGAGCTCCAAGCAATAAGGTAATTAACAATGGTACATCTATACTATGGAATATCAAGCAGCCCTCAAAAAGAATGAATTAGGGCTATATTATTTGAGTTGGAGGAATTTGTCTGGAGATATATAGATATAGATATAGATGATATAGATATAGATATAGATATAGATAGATATATATAGATTTATATATATATATTTTTTAGCTGAGCCATCCTGTGATAAAAGTAAGATGCAGAGAAGTGCATATACCATAATCTCATTTCTTTTTAAAGTGAACATTGATCACAACCCAAAGCTGTATGTGCACCCAAGTGTGTGTGTGTGTGTGTGTGTATAAGGTGAACATGGAGATATGAAAGGAAACCCACCAGGTTGCTAACATAGATTACCAGTGGGATAAAGGGGAAAAAAAGAGTGTGCAGGGGTTAAAAATGAGCAGAATGTATGATATGATTACACTGATGTTAAGGAAATTCATCAAAAACCTGCTACAACATGGATTCAGATGTAACGGGATTGGCACGAGTGTTCCTCCTCCACAGTCCCCATTCTCAATCTACCTCATAGTCACTTGGCATTTCCTCATCCATTGAACTAGTATTAGTCCTATATAACGTTAAGTCTCGTAATCTTTTCTTTTTGCATTTTGTGACAATCGTACTGAAAACTATTGTTTTCCATTAACTATTTATAAAATTGAATTTTGGGACCACACTTTTCAAGTTGGAGTACAGGTTTACACACAAATGCAAGTAACTATACATAAAGAAATTAGAAAAAATAAGGAATTGGAAATTATATATTCACTGATTGTTGAATGTCCATCAAATGAAAAAACTAGTTATAGAAAAATAGGCATAAAGTATTCTATTTCAGTAAAACCAAGCAGAACCCTAATTATAAATGTATGCTTAAGTACTTTTAAGTGAAAGAGAAAGCTTTGGAAAGTATTCACAAGGCCATTGGCACAGGTTACATTTGGGGTAGAAAGGAGAGGTGAAGGGACAGATTACTAGCTTTGATTTTATACCTCTGCATCTTATCACTCGCTTATTACAATGAACAGAAAAGTATTGCTTTTGAAATCTGAAAACATTGAGTAGTGAAAACAAATATAAATTGCAAACAATAAAACAAAATAAATTGGGTATTAATTAGTACCTACCTCTAAGACCTGTTGTGAAGATTAAATGAGATAATCTATATAAAATGTTTAGCATATTGCTTAACATGTTGCAAATGCTCAATAAACGTTAGCTATTTTCTATTTTTTAAAAAAGACTGCAGAGATCAGTGGAATTTACAAAGCTGAAAAGATAAGGCCTTTGAAAATAACGGTACTTTTTTCTTATTACTGAATCTGTTTTCCTTTGGAAAACAGGGACTCATTATGGTAACCATACAGCTCACTAAATACACTTCCACTGATAGTAAAAATAAAATTACAATTAGATAAATAAGCTACGTATATAATAAAAAGGAGATGGCAGCCTTTATGCCTGAAGGCTACTGTAAGAAATTCGGGGCCATCCTAAGGCACTATGCTTCTGTCACAACCACTTCAGGTGAGAGATATGCTGGCCCCGGACATTTCCCCATGTTAGAGGAAACTTAGTGTACCATTCTTATAGATTGGAGAGTGATGATGTTGATCTTTTGGGAGGCCTGTCCAAGGGGAAATCCATTCCTAAATGTAGACATTCCAATACCAATTCTGAGAATTCCCTAAAAGCATGTTAGCTTAGTTATAATCTACAAACTGAATTTGGTCCATCAATACTATTTTTATTGTTCAATGAAACATTAAAATAAGTGCACAAATTTCATGAGTGTGTTATTAGTCTTACTACTTACATGGAATTGACTTTCTCTTCGGGGCCTTGCACTTGGCCTGTCACAGTGCCTGCACTGGTATTCTTCACCCAGCCAACCACGCCTATTTTCTTAGCTTCACCTTCTGTGTACTGGTTTCAGGAGAAAACAAGAGAAAGAAATTCCATCATCAAAAATACGAATTCACAACATACTTGATTCTAACATTCAAAAGGTACTATGCTGATAATTTTTTTCCAAAAATATAGTCTATGCCAAAAAATGGTGCAGGTGACCTACAGTAATACCTCTATTTACAAGTGCCTTCTTCAATCAAATGGAATTTTTTGTTAAATTCCACTTTCAGTAAAGACAAGCATGTTACGAGAAAATAAACTGATAGTGGGAATTACTTCAGAAAACAGTTTCCACGATGTGTTTGGGATCCATAAAATTCAGCTGCCTTGCCCTCATGCCTGGTGATGCTAAATTATATTGTTTATTTGGGTTCCAAATGATGATCACTCTGAGATTCTCAATCACTGAGGGAAAATATTCAGTAATGATCAATAGAAAGTACTGGATTAAAATATTCTGATGGCTTCTGTTGGCTCTGGATTTGTCACACAAATGTTATAATTCTCCATTGGTAAATTTATTTTTCCGATTATTCTTAATAGTATTTTTTTTCATTTCTTTTCCCAGTTCCAAATTCAGTTATGCTATCAGCAAATGAAAACCTAGCAACATTTTGCTTTTGAATTATTTTAACTACATCATACTAAAATTCTTGTGGCTCCAGTCTACTAGAACTTTTTTTAAAAATGCCCTTCTCCTGTTTGGAAGTCAGGATGACTAAGACCTCTATACTCCACATCCCCAACTAAAGAAAGCAACACAAACCGAGATGGGCAGAGCTAGGATGGTTACAGATAGGGTTGATGTAGGAGCTGGTTCTGAAAACGAGTCAAGCTCTCACAGGCAAGAATGAAAAAGGAGACAATCTGAACTCTACATCAAAATGTGGAGACTTTACAGGTGGGAGGATGTTAGAACACTCAGAGTGTGTTATGCACAGAGACCTAATCTAGGGACTGCCAGCTCAGAGAGTAGGCGAAAACACAAGCCATATTTAACTTTTAGAAAAGGAGTATATTAACAGAATAATAAAATTAAAGGCAACAAGGAGGTTTAACATCTAAAAACCTGGGAACCACGACCTTACGCAATATGACCACTTTTCATGTTGCCATTCAAGATATATACCCTTGCCTGGGGGGTTTCTTCCATCCAGAACGAGGGGAAGGGCCCATATTTTGTATTTGATATACTGAATCAAAGGGTTCAATTTGATCATCCAAAAAGAGGTACTTTTGAAATTCATAAAAAACATTAACTAAAAGCTAAGAAGGCTGTAATGTTTTTAAGAGACTGCATTTTAAAGACAGTTTTAATAAAAATCTTAATCAATAATTTGTATTTGAAGAAATACAAATACATCTTCATTTGCTGTCAAGGTGAAGAAATAAGCAGTAGAGTAGCATTAAGTGGAAAACTGCTCTTGTGATCAGAAATAACCATGGGGGAAAATACAATAAACAGATTGTGTTGACTTACCATTCTGAAGCAAACACCTGTATAAAAGAAAGACAAAAAGAAATGTCAGCTTGTCTACCTTTAAAAAAACTATATATTTCCTAACTAAACATTCACCTATTTTATTAAATGCTAAGTAAATGAAATGAACAAAGCTTTTTTTAAATTGAATTTATTGGAGTGTCATTGATTAGTAAAATTATATAGGTTTCAAGTATACAATTCTATAATACATCATCTATATATTGCTTTGTGTGTTCACCACCCAAAGTCAGTTCTCTTCCCATCACCATATATTTGACCCCCTTTAACCTCCTCTACCACCCTCTCCCTCCTTACCCTCGGGGGTAACCGCTTAACTGTTGTCTGGGTCTGAGTTTTTGTTTGTCTTGTTCATTTGTTACTTTCAGTTTTATATCCCACATAGAGTGAAGTCATAAGGTTCTTGATTTTTTTCTGACTTCTTTCATTTAGCATGATAATCTCAAGATCCATCCATATTGTTGCAATCCGCAGTATTTCATCTTTTAATGTCTGAATGTTTTCAGGTATTTTTAAAAGTTATTTTCTTTTAAAATAAACAGAGAAAAGGAAGAGTGTTTTTGGAGAAAAATAGTAATCTGAATATTTCATTTCATTTGAATATTTTATTCAAAGAATAATGAAATGTCAAACTGTATTTTTAGTCTATTTTACAATGCTAAATAACACAAAATGCTTATTACAACGACAATTGAGTATATTTGGCATAAAATTTACCTATCCTTGGTTTTTAGAATTTCTTCTTTAAGTACAAGGACCAAATCTAAGTTTAAATATAATAAAACATTTCTATTTTAATTCCATATTCTGGAGAAGGCAAAACTACAGAGACAGGAAACTAATCAGTAGCTGCCAAAGGCTGGGAGGTGGGGGAGGGGGGTGTTGCAAAGGGCCATGAGGGAACTTTTTGGGATGATGAGGCTCTTCTACATCTCAGCTGTGGTGCTGGTTACATGACTGTACGCAGTTTTCAAAATTCATTGAATTGTATACTAAAAAAATGAATGTTACTGAATTTAAATTATACCTCAATTGAAAAAAAAAATTGGGAAATCATGGGGGATAGATCAAACCAATCCCCAGAGAGGGCAAAAGAGATTGCTTCTACAGCAATTGAGCCTGGTTAAGAAAATACATAAGAGGGAATCAGTGGCTTAGGTAATTTTATGTAATTTTGTAAGTGGATTTATAATAATAAGAGATAAGATTTATTTTCTGATCATAGTGTATCGTGGTACCAAATGACAATGAAGAAAAAGAGTAGTAAAGCAATACAGACAGGATAATATCACAAATGGAATTCTTATAGAGCTATAAAAGTATTTTAAGAGATACACACAAAATGTGGAGGAATGATGTGTGGGAAGTATTGATCTGAAGGGGAACCAGAAAGGCAATCTGTTATATAGATACAGAGAAAGATATCAGCTAGCAGATATAAAAGGAATTGGCAGAAAACGCAAAAGAAACTTCAGTTAAACCAGACCATGTAGGAGAAAGACAAAATAGGAGAAAAAACAGGCAGAACGGTGGGAAAGTGTGCGGCCGTTTTGTTCTAAGAGTGAGGAGATCCCAGGAGACACTGACCAACTAGAGTTGATGGTTTTGGTTAAGGCTGCATTGTGCATATTCCCCTCTGAGTTTCTCAACAGCGAGCAGCTCTGTATGTTGTTAGCATTATGAAAAGAAAGCACATGCAACTGAAGTAAACAGAAACTGGCAACGCCTGGTGCAGCTCTTTCCTACTCAAAGAGTGATCCATGGACCAGCAGCACCAGCCGCATCTGAGAGTTTTTGCTTTCCTTTCCTTTTTTTTTTTTTTCTTCAGTGACATTTTTTAAAAATTGCGATACAATCAGATAACACTAAATTTACCCTTTTAAAGTGTTCAAAGTATACTAAATATACAGTGATTTTTATTTAGTATATTAACGATGTTTTACAACCACTACCTAATTCCAGAACATTTCCATCACCCCAAAAAGAACCCCTCCCTCACATTTCCCTTTAGCAGTCACTCCCCATTCCCTACTTCCCCCAACCCTTAGGGAAGTCAGGGCCCTGGCCTCTGATTTTTCTTGGCCTTTCCATCAAGGTTTCAAGACGTCTGCTATAGCTCCAATCATTATATTCACCCTACAATCAGGAAGAGGAAGGGTATAGAGGAAAATCGTTCTCCAATTTTGGTTACCATACAACCTCCAGGCTTCTCCTATCACTCCACACCAAAAAACTCTGCAGTAAAGATCATGTTGAAGTACTGCATCCAGAACCATATAGTTGAGCTCCCTCTGGATTTTACAACTTATTTCTGGAGGAGGAAGCTTCTTCTCCCTCGTGATAGTTCCTTCTTTGAGGAGGACTATCCATTAGTGTGACACCCCTGGCCACTCTCTACCTCTATACCCTATTCCTGACTCCACCTCAGAGACAAGCAGCAACTTATCTAAAATAAGTAGGAGTAGGTAAGTCTGTAAGGAGAAACATACTTCCTCTTCCTCCTTCTCCTGGGAGTGAGTTATCCTCAGAGATCATGCCTTCTGCTCTGCCCACAGGGGAGGCCTGTCTCTGCCTGGGTGGGTGTGTTTAATCTGCAGTGCAGACTATTACCAAGTCCACTTACCCGAAGATACACACCATATCCCCAAAACTCTGCTTTACTTAGTTTTACTTGCCAATCAATAACCCACACAATGAAGAGGGGCATTATTTATTCAGCCCCTCAAACACAACCCCTATTTTAAAGCCTTAGAAGGAATGCACATCAAGAGGTGTCAGGGCCTCCTGCCCTTTAACTTTGTGAATCAGTGAACCATGTGGGAATCAACTGTTCAAAGTCCCATATCCCACTTGGAATTTTCTCAGAATCTTTCTGAGAGTCCTGATCCCTAGTTGGAAGCAGATGGCACAACAGAGAGAGGTACATATAGGGGGGGAAAAGTGAATGTGGAGACAGATTTTCGGCAGTTTATCAGCACTGGCTGGAACAGAATGCTCAATGGACAGGGCCTGTGTTAGAGAAGATGCTTCTATGGGCTTTCATGGTCTCTCCACATTGCATCCACCTCGCCTGCTAAAGAGAAGGGAAGCTGATATGACACATGCAGGTTTTTTTTACAGACACACTGCTCTGGAAACTGGGACAGACATCAGCCTCTTCAGTTATGAAAGACTTAAGCATAATATGCTGCTCAGTAAGCCTCAATAAGCTGCAACTCTACCTCACTTTGTGGAAAGATGTCACTGAGAAACTCTGAGGTAAATATTGCAAAAGAAATCACACTTTAAATCTACAAAGAAATATAGATATTTAATCATATGATGAATTTTAAACATTAGCATCCTTTTATGTAAAATCAAATTTTCCTATTGTAATATGTCCCTTCATTCTGGGGTCTGACGGCATATGTCAATTTTGAATGCAGAGAGTTATCTAGTCACCACCTTACAAAGCAGCCCTGAATGATTTTAAACATCTTTAATTGTTAGAAAGGCCTTCTTTATATGGAATAAAATTCTGACTCACTTTAACCCTTCTCCATCCATCCAGGGTCTGTCCCCTGGAGCCACACACCATGGCACCTTTCAAATAGTTGAAACAGCCATCACTCTACTGATTCGTCTCCAAGCCAACTACCCCTAAGCATTTCAATTTATTCTGAGACATTTTTGAAGTCGCCACCAGAAGTACAGTTTGTAGAGGACATAAAAACAAGTCACCATCTTGACCTTCAAGATAATATCCTTATTGTGTAATGAGAGACACGGATATAAGTAAGTACACAAATAACTGTAGTTGAAAGGAGAATGGATTAAAGAGAAGTAAAAACAAGAATTAGAACAGAACTATAAATGAAATGCTATAGGAACAAAGATGAAAAAGGGAATTAGAGTTAACCATATTTATGTTTCTTGACTGTAACATACAAAAATTTTCAACCTCTGAAACAGCTTTTCATTTACCTGAAAAGGAAAAATGTGTACACCTAAACCATGTGGTGTCTGAGAAATCTATTTAATAATTCATCCTAATTTTCATTTTTAAGCAATCTTAAAGAAAACTGCTATTTATTTTGATAGTCCCACAAGCTACTCCTATTCTAAAACTAAGTTAAAAACTGTCAAAAACAAGCTGCTGAATTTATAAAGCACAGTTAAATCAACACATTGCCAAAATCCACTGCCACGGGTGTCATTAGTATTTACCTCAGAGCTGGTAAAGTATCAAAGAATCTATACACAGCTTTCTCAATTTCCCTTTCAAGATTTCAGATTATATTATTCTAGATATAATGTAATGAAACATTTATAGGAACATTATAAGCCATGCCACAGTTATAAATGCTATAAAAACACAGGTCAGTCCCCTGCTCCCCTATCCCTCTTCCCAAAGGCCCCAATGCAACAGAAGTTGATAGGAAAAAACATGGAGCTTCTTGAAAATGTGGAGATTAAAAAGTAGAGGATGTAAAGAGAAGGGAAAAAAGAGTAACTTAACAGTGCAGAAGGCTGACAAACTTGATCTCACCGAGGTGATCAAGGTCAACATCAACAGTGGTTAAGTCATATTGAGAATATGTACCCTTGATATGGAGTGATGAGAGTGGCATTTTACCTCTGTGGTCTTCCTCCCAATAACCCATAACCCGTTTTGCATGACAAAAATATCAGACAACTCCCAACTGGGAAGCGTTCTACAAGGTACCTAACCTCAAAGTACTCCTTAAAGCTGCCAAGGTCATAGAAAACAAGGCACGTCAGAGAACATCACAGCCTAAGGGAACAAGATGACTACATGAAACATGATATCCTGGAAGAATCCTGGGACAGAAAAAGAACTCTAGGTAAAAACTGAGGAAATCTGAACAAAGTATACACTTTAGTTAATAATAATGTACCAATATTGGCTCATCAGTTGTGAAAAATGCACCATACTCATATAAGATGTTAAAAAGTGGGGAAACTGGATGTGGGGTATTCAGGAACTCTCTATAGTATCTTTCCAACTTTTTTATAAATATAAAACTATTCCAAAACAAACATAACATATATATATATAATATGTTATATATATAATATATATAACATATAATATATATGTATAATATATATAACATAATATATATGTTATGTATGTATATGTGTATGTATGTATCTATATATGTATCTATATATATGTATATGTGTATGTGTGTATATATGTGTGTGTGTGTGTGTGTGTGTGTGTATATATATATATATATATATATATATGTATGTATGTATATATACAAGTAGAAGAAGAGAAGCAGCAATGGAAAACAGAAGCATCCTAAGGCTCTATATGTAAACTTTACAAATGGGCCTGAGAAGCAAACCCACTATTTGTAATATTATTTCTATAAATGCATTTTCCTGAATTTCAAACAACTAATTTATAAACTAATTCTTGGAATACAATCTGCTTATAAATTAGGGTATGTATAGTTGAGAACAAGGCAGGGTACATTTGACCCTTAGAACATACTGACTGCCATTTTGTCACCAAGGAAGTTTTAAGCTCAAACATTCTAAATGGAAATATAACAACACACCTTGTTTTTGGTTGGAAAATATTGTGTCATAAACTTCATGTAGCCAATTTAATTCATTGATCAGTTTTCCAGGACAGGACAGTTAAATCATTTTCCATTTTTTCCATGTTCATTTTTATGTCATTGAAACCATTTTCATTGGGGATATTTCCATTTAAATATTTTTATGATAATTTTATTATCACTCAATATTTTGTCTGTATTAAATATTGCCAATTATAGCTTCCTCCACTGTAAATTTACTGTCATAGCCATTTTTTTATTATTATTAGTTTCAGGCATACAAAACAATGCAATAGTTATCCTTTTCACCCCTCACAAAGTGACAACCCCCCCATCCACTGCCCCGACCTCTGATATCATACATGTCTATTACAATTCCATTGACTCCATTCCCACACTATATTCTACATCCCATGACTATATATGTATTAAATTATAGTTGACATATAGCATTATTCAATGGCAGCTTCGGATGTACAGTGTGGTGGTCAGGCCTCTACACCGTCCATGAAGTGGTCTCCCTAACAAGACATGAGTCTATCTGGCCCCCTAAAAAATATTTACAACATATTTTGTAGGGTGTCAGGTGGTCACATGTCTTGCATCATGGATGGGGAAGAAGCTGTAAAAGGTTAATTTTACAGTGTTTCCTTTAATTATTGTCCATTTTATAGTACTAAAATTAAAATTTTTTATTTTTGATTATTTATTGTCAATTATTTCTACATAATCATTATGAATTGCATAAAAGGCTATTAGTTTATATTTATTTCTTAGGTAATCCAAGAGAAAACTGGGAGACACAGAGAGATACAGACTGATATACACAAATAGTGACAGTGTGAGCAAGTGACAGAGAGTCAGGGGCTGTAGCTTTTGAGTGTGCTCACTGCTTACTGACCAGGTCAACCTTCCTTGGAGCCAAAAGAACCATAAAAACGTTCTCAGGGTCATCTGCGTCCAAATGTGCTGTTATCAGTGTATATATACGCATTGAGTGCATAAGTTAGGAGGAAGGCAAAATAAAGGTGGAAAGGGTATTCTGAGGATACCTCACAATAGGTTATAGTGATCAAGAGCATAGACTCGGATATCAGACTGTCAAGGTTCAAATCCCAGCACCACACCAAAACTCACTGTGCAACCTGGGATAGTTACTCTGTATGCCTCAATTTCTCTTTATGTTAAATGAGGAAATAGTTGAGGATACAGTGAGAAAGAGGCAATGCATGTAAAATATTGAGTACAGAAATACTGGCATATCCTAAGTTCTCAGTAAATGCTGGTGTATATGTCTGCAAATACGTAATTATGAATTTGTCCCAGATACTATGCCTTGATAAATCAATAATGCTTGTACTCTTCCGTTTAACATACTGCAAACTGTAGGACTTATTGCCCTAAATCTCAGTTTTTTAAACCCCACTGTTTATGAATAGTACTTTTATCTTTCCTATATTTGTACTGTTGCCCAAAATTGATCTTCATACACCATGTGACCATCATATACATAAAACATGCAATGATATAGTTAAAATCAATAAAACACATTATGTATTAACAGAAAACATTGCATGATGGAAAAGTACAGGTTTTACAGTCAGAGAGATGCAGGATCAAATCCCATTTGTCAACGTAGTGCTTGTCCAAGTTACTGAACCTCTGTACCTGTTTTCTCACTGTTAAAACTGGAATAAGATATACATGCCACACAACTGTGAGGAGGGTGAAGGAAATCATAGATGCTTGGCACATGGAACACCCCCAGTAAATGTCACACGTGTGTGCTTGCACACACACAGACATGCACGCACATGCACTCAACTACTGCTATCGCTGTCCAGTAGACAAAATTTTTGTCAGGTGATCTTTGCCTCCAATTTCATATTATATGTAATATGTTTCAGTGATTTATCGTGCGAGTTTTCAATCCAGAGTTATACCCCTGGATGTACCCAAAGACTTTCTACAGGGTGCAAAGCCATGCATAATTTTAAGGGAATAGGTTTCCAGATCCTCAACTTCCATATGTATTCTTTTCTAAAACCGTCTCAAAAGGCACCTGTGGTTTGCAGTTTCTCCTGTCCTACCTCCCTTTTCATAATCACTCCTTGAAAGAAAGGCCCATCTCTTTACAAAAGGCATGCTCTCACTCCTCCTTAATCTTACCCTGGTACATTGCCCCGAAGTGTAAAATAAATGGATAAGTCAACGCTTCCTTTAATCAAGGTTTCTCCTTATGAAACAAATTTCCAATACAAATTTATCTTAATTAAATATTTATCAGACTCTTAAATGTATTTATTTTCATCAACTGTGTTCTAATAATAATTCCAATAGTAACTCAAGTCAGAAGAAAAAAGATTAATAGAGGTTTATGGTCAAAGGATATCAAGAAAATATATTTACGTGTATAGGTGTGTATATATACACATATACATACTGTACCTACATATTGCAGAAAATAGGTGATCAATAAGAAACTCAAGCGTAACAATGGGATAAAATTCTGTGGGGGGATGAGGAATGGAAATCAAATTCAAAAAGGAAAAGGTATGATGTAGAATTTCCCACTATTAAAAAGCTTTATTTTAAATGAATGATGGTAAATATTAAATCACTAACGTATTTATATTCCCTTGGATAAATTTCACAGTGATTTAACATTTAGAAATAACAATAATTACAATAAACCAGGCATTACACCTTTGCAACTATTTAAACTTATAATGAAACAAAAATTAGATAACAATTCAATAATTTTAAGAGCTACACAGGAAGAAAAAAACCCAAGTATAAGCTCCGAGAACGTGAACCCTCAAACATCATCTAGGCGTCCTTCCTGAAACTCGCGTCAATCAAGCCCAGTAGTTTCAGTGGAAAGTAGCGGGATCACGAGTTCAGAGGCCCTCTCGTATTTTCCTACTCAACTTCATTTTTCCCTGTCGGCCCGGAACCCCGTGCCCCTTAGACCTCTGCCGGTGCCCCTAGGTCCCACCTTCCTCCCTGTCTCCCCCCTCCTCCCTCCTCCCACCCGGTTCTCCGCTCTTGGCCCCCCGCCCATTCCAGCGCTCCGCGCCTGCGCGTTTCGCCTCCTTCCCACCCGGGGCTGCTGTGTCATGGCCCGGCGGAAGTCCCGGCCACACCGGGGAGGGGGTTCCTTAGGATGCGAGGCCCTGCTCTCGGTCTTCTCCCCTTCATCCCCTAAGGCTTCTTTGGTCTCCCGCTCTAGGGGGAGGGGGGGTGGTCCCCTACCCTGCACTCTCCCGAACACCTCGTAGTCCACGGATTTGAGGGGCCCTGCGGTAGACATGGCGACGGCGAGTCCTCTGCCGAGGAGCCGGAGCGGGGTGCTTGGCGCGGCGACTGCAGCGGCCGCGAGAAGGAGGGGGTACATGGGACCGCTGGGCGCACCCCGCGCCTGTCAACGGCCCGGGACGCGAGCGCGCCGGGGTCACGCGTTGGAAGACGGCAAATGAGACTGCGGGGCCTGGGAGCCGGGGCAGCCCGGGACGCCAGGAGAACAGCGGCCGCCCGCCCCGGCGCCCCGGCGCCCCGGCCTCCTCTCCCGGCCCCGCCCCTCTGGTGGAACCGGACTGGCTTCCCGGGAAGGATGCGCTCCCTACGGTTTAATAAACCACGGTGCTCATTTCCCAGTATTTGTAAATAAACGTCGAATGCTGTGCCCAGAAGTCAGTAGCTTGGTACCTAAAAATGCTTTGGAAATGAAAGACCTGCTAGCTTGGAGGTTAAGAGTATTTGGTTAGTGAGTTAATTTTCTTTAAATTTTTAGGCGACTGCCAAATCTATGAGGGGGTTTTGAACGAATTCTTAAGGTGCTATCTGCATTCTCGTCTCTACTGAGTCAGAAAGGCGTTGGTCCTGAATCCATGTTGTACGTGAATTGTGATATATCATGGAACAAGAAACTTTTAAAACCTAAACTCGTATTGAAAACAAAACAATAAGTTATCTTCTGTCCACTCCTATAGCTTTTTTAATGTTTATGGTTATTGTTCAGCAACATCCTAATTGCCTAGAAGGTTAAAGCAGCTTATGCTTAGGAAATAGACTTATAAATCTTTCTACTTGTGAGAATTTGCATTTCTCAACATCTCTTGGCTTCGATACCTTTACACATATCTCTGCAAATGGCCACAGAGTTAAAAAATAATACTCGGCAATCTGATTCAATGTTATCTGCCAATTCTATTAGGGAACGTCAAAAATCATCTAAAACTCAGAATGTGGTTAAGTCATTCTGAAGTAAAATATTCTGGAAGTACTAATTAGATAATTTTTGTAATGAGGATCCTGGTTTAATACAGAGACCTCACAATTTATGTCTTCCTCTCATCTCCCTTCCAGTTCATTCCAGACTCTAGAATCAACATAGGTCTTGTTATTCTTTTCAATAACATGTCTTCAGAGTCTCTCCACTGCATTCTAAATAAAACTGAAGGTCTTCAGCCTCCACTAACCTCTGATTACCTGCTTATCTGCATCCTATAGGTTATAGGTAACGTGTGGTCAAGACACTTTGACTTATTCTGCTCTCTGAACACAGCCTGACCTAAAAATAAAAAAACCTTTACTCTTATCTGGAATACCTCCTCCTACTCTCAAATCTTCCCCTATCCTGTTCAGTCACTTCTGCAAGTATTTACCATATTTCATCTTAATTATTTAGTGTCTTCCCCACTAGTACTGTGCCTTCTAAGAAATAAGATAAACTTGGTTGAGGTCCCATCACTGAACCTGTCACTAACTGGAAAGATTGACATCTTTTGTTAATCTTCGAGGTTTCTCCACATTTACCCAAGAGTGCTTGTGCCAATTATGTAGCTTTATTGTAATTTTAGAAGTGCTATAGCAACAATTGACATTTGCTTAGCTGAAAATTTTACTGTCTGCCAACAGCAGAACATAGTGAACAGAAATTTTTTATGTACCATTTCATCATGGATTGCCAATAATATGTGATTTTAAGACTAGAAATTTTAAGCAAATGGTGCTAATATTCAAGCTAATTTTAAATAAAAACATCTATGCCTAATTTAGAGCAATTTTTTAAAATAGAGGGAAAAGAATCATTCATAATCCTAAAACAATCATTTTTGTGTATTCTCTTCATATATATTTTAAGTAGTTAAAATCATAGTGTAAATTTTTATTCTTTCTTTTTCCGTGTTTTAGTCTTTCCAATGAGTATTTTAGTAATGTTAGGTAGAAGTTAGAAAATGGAGGAGGAGGAGGTGTGGAAAGGGGTCCACAGTGCCTACAGAAAAGCTCATAACTAGCTTTGATTAACTGTCTCCAGACAACAGATGACAAGAGGCGGTCTGGAGCAAGATAAGGATCTGAGTCCACAGACCTCCACCCATCTTAGGAGGTTATGCCCTCCTGTGGAAGAGCATGCACCGTATTTTCCCCACCAATTCAACATGTAACTCCCTCACCCCACCCAGCAAACTATTATATGTCCTTGAGACAAGAGGGCGCCAGCTCTTGCGCCCATGTGTTTTTTCTCTCCCCCTCCCCCTCCCCCTCTCCCTCCCCCTCCCTCTCACCTTAGCTAGGCCCATTCTCTTCCCTGACACTGTATCACTAATAAACCCTGCTTGCATATTAATCAGCTTACTGACCTTTGATTCTTCACTGTGTCAGCAAGAAGAACCAAGACTCTCCCATAACAGTAATTTCATGCCATTCTATTAAGTAAGTATAACCATAAATTTACCTAAGTCCCCATTGTTATGCACTCAGGTTGCTTTTAATTTTTCACTACCATAAAAAATGTTGTGAATATTTGTGCCTGTAGCTTCCTTCCCATATTTTTTAATTATCTGGGATAGAAGTTAGAACACCAAATTAAAGGGTATAAGCTTGAATTACTCTTGATATATATTGCCAAATTGTTTTCTCAAAGGGCTATTTTAATTTAAATATACCACTACCAACACTGTATGAGTGTATGATTATTTGGCTTCTGATGCAAACAAATGTAAGTAGTCTCTTCACATGATTAAATTAGATGAAAAGTTTTCATTTTGTAACCTGAGTAATAGCTTTGGAATAACAAGGCTTTGTGTTACTACTGGTTGAAATTAAAACTTAGTCAAATCATTCCCTTCCTTGAACTCCTTTAAAATAACTTGCATGTTATGTAGAATCATGTTTAAGGTAATAAATACATAGGAGAGGAAAATCTTGCCTATATCATATGGATGTAAAAAATAACCAGGCCCCAGAACCTATGAAATAGGTACAGACAATACAATCTCTGTGTCCAAATGATATTGAAATGAAGAGGTACCACCTGTAAATCTCTAATTTGTCACTACAAAGGGTCAGTTGAGTGATTCCTCAGAAATCTGATATTAATGTATAACTGATTTCAGAAACAAGCAAAATTACTTTATCCATCACATATTTCTACCCCTGAAATATTTTTATAATCATTATGTTGAAAGAACAGGACTCAAACAGTTAACTTATATAACTGAAGAGGCCTAAACAAACCAATTCAATGATTCCCTCATGGAAGGAACACTTTACAGGTAAAGAAATGGTTAGATAATTATTACTAAACTGCATCCAAGATCATTAGACACCAGATTGTTAGGCAGCTGGGGAAGCAAATTCGTTTCCCAGAAGAGGCTTTAATCTTACTACAATTTATTAGAAAATTGCTTAAGCATTTTATCAAGAAGGCGTATTTCTTCCCAGGAGGAGATTCTGACCCAGGTTTGAACTAACTTTTCTTTACCACAGTCCAATTTGATATTCAAAACTCAAGAAGTGCTTTTAACATTAATGCTTATTCTTTCTCCCATCTTGATACTCCTAGGCTAGGGTGGGGAGAGGGCATGGTTGATTCTTCCCTTTGCCTCAGTTTCCCTCTCCTGGATGAGAATTAGAAGGAACAGCTACTTTTGGAATCCAGTTTGGGCTCTCTGGGATTGGCAAATACTCAAAGCTTGATTAGTTCTTTTGCAGGATCCTTTTTCTGGGGGAGACTCCGCTTTTCCCTACCAGGAATTCCTGACTGCTGCTTCCTTGATAGACAATGCCTTCACTCACACCTCACTCCCAGTTTCTGAACTGAATGCTACACTTTCAGCCTCTCTCTGTAGCAACAAGCGTGCAGAGGATGGGGTCCCTTTTAAAAAGACCACAGGGCCAGATGCCACGGTCCTGTCATATCTGACTGTGGGGACTCATATCTCTGCCCTACCATTCATGGAAGTCGCAGTTTGCTCTGAATTGGCAGGCAGTGTTCAGGTACCTCCAGTTACAGCCTCTCTAATTTCTGCAGGTATGAGTCAAATACCAGTCTCTTCCACCTCCAAGGAGTAATTGCCACACTCTCAAAGTAGTTCTTTGAAAGACCCTCTTACAAGGCATGCAGTGAAGGGGAAACACCTTGTTTCTCTCTCCCATAGAGGGAAACAGGCAGAGAGGGAAAAGCCACAAATTTCCAATAACTTTTCCCAAAGAAATCCTCTCCAGCCTGAGGTGGGTGTTGGGCTAAAGATCTTAAAAATCAGTTTTAAATATACCGTTTGTGGGCCGGCCGAGTGGCTCAGTTGGTGAATATACCGTTTGCATGACATCGGTAGTCTAGCACCTCATCCTGAAATCTGGGTATAATTGTTGTTTTGTTTTCAGTCTCAGGTCTCAGCTAAAACTGAAACAAAAGTCCCATTTTTCAAAGCAACAGAATTCAATATACATTGTAGATACCTTGTCTGGATCCTGACTTGAATATGTAAATTGAAGAAGACATTTTCGAGATGATTGGGGAAATTTGAACATAGGTTGACTATTAAACATTACAGAATTATCTTTAACTTTGTTATATGATAATAGAATTATCTGCATATTTTTTTCAAAGACCTTATCTATTAGCAGTATATACTGAAATATGTAAGGGTGCTATAATATATTTGGGACTTGCTTTAAAATCCTTGGGGTTTGGGCAGGACAGTTTAGATAGGATAAACTTACTGAATTGGTGATAGTTATTCATCTCAGTCACGGGTACACAAGGATTCATTATACTATTCTCTAATTTTGTGCATGTTTGGAATTTTCATGTAAAGTTTTAAAATTAAAAAACATTCCATTTTCATTTTCTAAAATATGTGACAAATAATCATCAAAACTGTCATAGCCATGATAAACAAAGATTGAGAAATAACCAAGAGCTGCCCTAAGGAGACATGATAACTAAATGTAATGTGTTTTCTAGATGGGATTCGGGAACAGAAAAAGAACTTTAGGCAAAAACTGAGGTAATCTAAATAAATTATGGACTTTAGTTAATAGTACAGTATCAGTATTGGCTCATTGTGACAAATGCACCATACTAATGTAAGATTAATAATAAGGGGAACTGGGTATAGGGTATAGGAGAACTCTCAGTACTATATCATAATAAGTTTATAAATCTAAAACTATTCTAAAATAAAAAGTTTACTTTTCCAAAGTCCATTTTCATACCATGTTACATATTTTCATTATAATATTTCAAAATAACTTCTCACTATAGTGCATGAGCAGCATTAGTCTTCTTATAATATTTTAAAACTATTTCA